TCGACAGATTTTCAGATTTCTCAAGAGCTTTGAGAGTCATCTCATATATTATGGGATTCTATCAAAGAACTCACCCCAGTACAAAATCTTCTTTTAAAGCGGAGTCTTCATTAATTTCTCCGGCCGAAATTAAAACAACGACACAACGCTTAATAACCATTTATCAACAACGACACTATAGAGAAGAATATGAACAATTGAAATCAGGTAAATCCATCGAAGCGAAAAGCGAAATTTTGCCCCTTAATCCATTCATCGACAAGGATGATGTTATGGGGACTGGTGGTCGTCTTGGCGCATCCCTTGACTTGGCCTACAGTGAGCGCCATCCAATTATTCTCCCATATGATTGCAGGTTAACTCGGCTTATTGTCCAGTTCGTCCATAAAATCTCCTTACACGGGGAAAACCAACTGATGCTGCGTCTTATACGTGCGCAATACTGGATCCCGCGAGTAAAAAATATGATACGGTCCATCATCCACAACTGTAAAATCTGCACGATCCACAGGAAACGATCATAAACCCAGCTTATGGGGAACCTTCCAACTGAACGCACTACATTTTCACGTGCGTTCACAAACACCGGTGTAGATTTCGCGGGGCCTTTTGACATTAAAACCTACTGTGGTCGAGGATGTCGCCTGTCCAAAGGCTACGTTTGTCTCTTCGTCTGTTTTTCGACTAAGGCCATCCACCTGGAGGCCACTAGTGACCTTAGTACTGCTTCCTAGCAGCATTTGCCAGATTTATTGCTAGACGAGGGTGCCCAAAGAATATTTACTCCGACAATGGAACTAACTTTGTCGGAGCCTCTCGGTCTTTGCGATCCGAATTTAAAACCTTCGTGGCCGACTCGCGCAATCAAGCCCTTTCTTAATACTGCCACCAAGCTCTAACGTGGCATTTTATACCCGCAGCGGCCCCTCTCATGGGTGGCCTGTGGGAAGCAGGGGTTAAAAGTTTTATGAGCCACTTCAAAAAGATCGCGTCGGACCACAAATTCACTTTTGAAGAGTTTAGTACTCTTCTATGCCGGGTTGAGTCTTGTCTCAACTCGCGACCACTTAGTCCATCATCCAACGAACCATCAAACTTGGAGCCGCTTACCCCAGGACACTTCCTTATTGGTGGGCATCTACTTGCCCCACCAGAAATCGACGTAAACGAGACTCGGGCCTCTATCTTAAATCGTTGGGAAAAATTGAAAGCATTACACCAAACTTTCTGCAGAAGATGGAAATCGGAGTACCTAACCGAGATGCAGAAACGCGTCAAGTGGAAACATCCACAAGCCAATTTAAAACAAGGGGACCTAGTCGTCATTAAAGAAGAAAACCTCCCACCCAATGAATGGAGACTTGGAAGAATAGCCAAACTACACCCTGGTCCAGACAACCGAATACTTGTAGTTGACGTTGATACGGCAAAGGGCCAAACTACAAGACCAATTGCAAAGTTGGTCCTACTCCCACCCTGCAACGAGGGAGTCGAGATTCGGAACACTGAAAGTTAAGATCAGATCCCCGTTCCCCGCAATAAAAAATCCTAATCTTAATAATCCTAATCTTGATACCATATCCCATTATGAGCTGCATTTTGCGTAGCCTTTGAAAATAATTTTGTTCGAATCAGTTTAATTCAATTTGTTTGGAAAATGCTCATTTAACAGCATTTAAGAGGTTATCACATACCTTGTTTATACCTACACAAGAACCGCATTAACAAAAGACCGATTTGAAAACAAATTGAAGTCAATACATTTTTCAATTTCAACGCGTTTTGATTTTTAGTTTATGCATCCGTTTTGAATCACAGCGAACTGGGTCAGAACGCTTTATGTGTCGGTATAAACAAGGTAACATTTAAACAACAGAAAGTTGACGCAAATTG